TCAGGTTGTGTCAGATAGGGATGACGGTTACCGCATTTTAGACATATTGAATAGGTCTCGTGTCATGCTAAACCATAATTATTACTACTGTAGCATAGTGACCACTGGGTGTCATTTGTGAGGTTACGGTATATTTTGCATTGGTGTTATAGTATGTAAGTGCGCCCCTCTTAAGCTAGTAAGTAGACAGCCTCCATATTTGGGTCACCCTGGCTCGTTAACTAAAAAGCAAAAACAAAACTGTCTTACTGCAGGACCTACGATTCATTACACGAAACTGGCAATAGCATCTTGATCGGCATATAAACAATAAGGCTGTGGTAAACTAAGTGATAACATCAGGTGTGAGCGTGGGGGGATGGGCCCTCAGCGTACATGTCTTATCTCGTAGTGTCCATGGCAGGTGACACGGAGGGCTAACTCTACTTCAGTCTGGCTAAGTCCCTGGTGGGGTATAAAGATTAAATACAACAAACTAAACTTAAGCAAGATGGTTGTTAGGGCCAAGACAACGTAACACTGGACGAGTCAACGCTATACAAAAACTGGATTGCTAGTTGAGGCCATGGGCCAGCTGACAGACCTGTTCAGGTAGTTTGTCAGAATGTCTATCGGTGGATTCGCTGCGGATGGTATGGGACCAGTCTTGATCCCCTGCCTACTGGTGTTGCTGAGGTCGTGGAGTGTCGCGCTGTTTTGCGCCAGTCTTTCGCTGAGGGTGGTTCTCTGGCGCGGTGGGTGCTCGTTAGAGTAGGTCTGTTGTGCGTGTCTATGTAAAATGGGGGGTGGGCTATTAACTAAATGCCGTAAGTCAATTGTGCGGTAGTCCTGCCTGGTGGTTTGTCGTAGTCCTGGCACTTGTCTTCTCAGGTGTCCGCCAGGTGCCGGTTTGCCCGTTGCGCCTTGTAGGCGGTGGAGGACGAGGCACCGGTGGTGACTGGTTGGAACGGTCTTACGTTTGCTACATCCCAGGTGTGTTGGGTCTTTGGCCTCTGGTCGGTTTTAGCTTGTTCCTGTCTCGGTGATAGGCCCAGCGCTGTCAGTACTGAATCTATTTCGGATGGGTCAGTGACCCGTGTGGATGCGCCTTTATGCGTGATGAGCAAGCTTCTGGGGAATGCCCAACGGTATGGGACTGAGGCTTGGCGGAGAGCGGTCGTCAGGGGTTTGAGGAGGCTTCTCCACAGCAGCGTGGGCCTGGATAGATCTTGGAAGAACGACAGGCTAGCTGTCTCGAAGAGGTGGGATGCCTTTCCTCTCACCGCTGCCATAAAGGTTGCTTGGCCTGTCTGCGTTTGAAATTGGAGGATGATGTCTCTCGGTGTGTCTGCTGGGGCTCTTGCGGCTCTTGGGATTCTGTAAGACCCGTCCGTTAGGGCCGTCTTCATCTGCTGTGGTGTGAGCAGGGAGGCGAGAAGCCGCCCAAGATATCCCTTTATGCCTTCCTGGGTCACTGTTTCAGGGACCCCTCTGATCTTCACGTTGCGGCGTCTGTGCCGGTCCTCCATTGCGTCCAGGCGGGTGGTGAGCAGTGCCTGGGCGCGCTGCAGCTCTGTGTTGTGAGCCTCTAATTGTACACAGCGTGCGGCGAGGCCCTGCGATTCCGCCTCCGTCTTCCTCATTCGCCCCTCCACGGTGTGAATCTCTTCTCTCAGAACCGCCATGTCTGCCGCGAAGAGGGAACGTATATTGCGTAGGAGGGCTTTTATGTCCCCTTTGGTGGAGGGTAGGTCGTTGTCTTCGTCTGAAGATACACTGTGTAATCCCCCTGTGTCGGGGAAGTCGTCCAGCTCATCAAGGAGCTGTTCTGCGGAGGACGCCGAGGCAGAGTCGCCATTTTGATTCGGCGCGGGGGTTACTGCGGCCTTGGCGGGTCGGAGGAGAAGTGCTCCGATATCACGAGCCCCTGTCAGTTTTGCGGCCCCCCGGTGTTTGGGCTTCTTTCCCATCTCTGGGTGCTGTGAAATAGGGTGGTATTTCGCTTTTTGTTCCGTTATTTTACGGATTTTCAGGCTGTTGGCTACGGAGCTCTGAGGCTGCACGTCCGCTTCACTCGGCTGCTGGCTCCGCCCCCCCTCTAAAGAATTTATTAAC